AGTAAATTATATACAAATTCATTATAACTTATTCAATCTTATCTATATCACTTATTAAATATATTTTAAATAAATGAAATTATTCCAGATACATATATATATATATATATATATATATATATATATATATATTTATGTGCCCATAATTAGGAAAGTTTGATATAATTGTAAATCAAAATTAAAAAAAAAGATAAAATCAATTTATCCAGATGATTTCACACAACAGCACATATTATTTTAAACTAAATTATATTTAATATAATTTATAATATTGTCAAAAATGAATTTGTTAAATAGTATTTGTTATTTCAATATTATATAGAATTAATTGTTCAAATTTGATAATAAGATATATGTAACTTAGACTCATTTTATGGGCACATAATATAATATTAATTCAGTAATAATAAATAATTATTACATTATTATATATATTTTATTAAAAATATATGTAATTTGCTTAGGTCTACAGAAACCTGAATGGAAACGTTACAAACAATATACTCGGGAGGACATAAGCAATGCAATTGAATCAGTTAAATCAGGAACGAGTGCATTGCAAGCAGCAAGAATATGGGGTGTCCCATCACGAACACTTTACGACAAGGTAAAAAAATTAGGAATCACGAATAATCGGTCATCAAAACGTAATGCAGGCAGATCATCAAGTAGTGCAGAGTATTCTTGTAATTATGGTGAAAATTCGAATTATCCTACTAACAGTAGTTACGTATCGGAATGTGACGATGAAACCGACAATAGTCACAATCATCACGAGAATAATACTTCGATGATACAACAACCAGAGACTAGTAGTTATTCTTCCCATATTACGGTAAAAAATGAATCGAACAAATTAAATAGGGATAATAGTAATGATCAAAATAATCTACACGAAGATTCACTTATGATTAAAGAAGAAAATGACGAACAATATTCTAATTACGATGATGAAATACAAGATTTATCAATGCATTCCAAAAATAATAAAACAATAGCGACGTCTAACATCAATAATAAAGATTCAGATAATATGAATCATAGCTAATAATAATTGATATTTAACATGTTAAACGCGAATAACAAATGATGTTACGAGAATTATTGTTCAACAAAAAAGCATCAAGATAGTCAAAACATATCTCATCGTGACGAGTTGTTCAGTTAAAGATTATAAACGAAACATATAACACATAATATATATTGCAGTGATAAATATTATGAAGGATGGGGGAGTAAGGATATAAGCCAATACAGAAGCTAATACATTAGTTAATACAGAAATATAATATAATAGTACAAATAAAAGACAATCAACAATAAGACTGATAAAAAGGTGACTACAAAGAAACAAAAATAATAGCTATGACCACTTAATAAAAAAAAAAAAAAAAATTCACTTTCATAGACTGATAATGTCGCGCTTAACGTGTTAAAAATGAAAAGAGACGTAGAAATTAACATATTACGTTTATGTAACTATAAATATATATATACATATATATAGTTATATAGTGCCTTAATTAAATATCAGGTCAGATTTTTTAATTAAGGATGTTAATTAAAAATCCATCCTCTTATATGAAGTAAGATTAATTTATAAGTTGTTAAAATATTTTTCCCTTGTTGGAATTATGAGAAATAATATTGATATGAATTTAATAATTCCTACTAATAGGTCTCCGAAAATTCTATAAAAAAGAAAATAATAATAATAATAATAATACTGTAGTATAAAAGTAGTAGAAAGGACCATTGATATTACAGCAAGTCAATAATCTCATTAATTTCTCAGGTATACGTTATCTTAAGATTTTGTTTCTAATAATTATTCTCTCAGTTTTAATATAGTAATTATACATTTTTTCTATATTTATTTGTTATACATCAATATGATGTGATAAAATTGAATGATTCTATGATGTTTCTAACATTAACAGTGGAATTTTTGATTATTCACACACACACACACACACAAATTACTTTGAAGAACTTAATAAATTTAATAGAATAATATGAAAATATGTTTAATGTATATGTGTTGTCTTTTTAAAAGAAAAAATATTTATGGTATATTATAAAACAGTAATATTTTTTTTATTTTATATCATGACACGTTGTAAATTTGTATTTTGATCATTTTAAATTATCTTTCTTGAAACATGGAAGATTCGAATGAAATTTTTTAAATTTTACTTTTAAAAATTCTATTCAACAAATAACATGATTATTTTAAATCAGTAATAGTTAATGAACATGCCAACATAATATTTTTCTACAAATGCAATTGCAATTTTACTATAACCTAAAATCATTCATACAAATGATATTTCCTTACAATGCAATAGACCTCGCATTATCAATTTATATAATGCATCATGTTATTGATATATAATTTATCATTTGCATGATAAGATTATATTATTTATTTGTTAAAAATATTTTCAAATAACGAAACCCCATTGAAATAATCAAAGTTCCACTGTATTAGAATCCAACAATTATTATTTAACATTCAATATTTAATGATTAATGAATTAAAACTTAAAAAGACTGAATCAATGTCATTGATTTTACAAGACTGATGAATGAAGTATAAAATGTGTTCAAAAAGGAAAAAAAAAAAAAAAGAATTGAACATCCTCAAGTGTTCTATGATGAGAAATAATTCTCTTTAGATCTTCATGTTAAGTCATTTAACTTACTTTAGTACAATTTTAAATATAATTTTAAGATATAAGTTACTTCTTTTATCCTATACAAACATATACAAAACACAAACGAATAAGCAATATTTAAAAAAAAAAAAAGAAAAAAAAACTAGTAAAGAACCAAATAGAGAAAAGTAAGAAACAAAAATGATAGAAAAAAAAAAAAAAAGATTATTATAATCACAACTCTCTACCTCTCGTACGAGTCAATACAATTTAAAAAGGGGATTAAATATTATTCGCGTATATAAATAAAATATACTATTGTTTATATATTTTTATATTTTATTTTATAACTTTTTTTTTTTCAAAAAAATTTGAGTGTTTTTTTATATAAAACATCGCGAATAAATAAATATATTCAATGTTGAAACGAATAAAAAATTTGTGCGATATTTTTTTTTGTTTTCTTTTCTTTTTGTTTTTTTTTTTTTTGTTTTTTGTTAATTTATATTTTTACTCGTAGAACTGCAGCTTGTATGATGTATTAATTTATATATACGTATATATATATAAATCAAATGTGTCTATCGAAATACTTCAACGAATGAAGTATTTCTGTAAAAGGGAAAGAGAGAGAATCTTCGAGAAAAAAAAAAATTGTACAAATTTTACATTCAATGCAATATAAATGGTTTTTTTCTTTTTAATAATTTTAACGTTGTTATTAAATTTTTACTTTTTAAATATATAATGCAAAAAAGAAAGAAAGAGAAGAGAGAGAGAGAGACAGAGAGAGAGAGAAAGAAAGAGAAAGAGAGGGAATAAAAATAAGAATGTGATTGAGAATGAAAGAGAGAAGAAACATTTTGTGATTTTTTTCTCTTATAATTTTTAAACTTCATATATTAAAAAAAAATATATTACAATAATGAATATGACTTATATATATACATAATAATGATAATGATTTATGTAAATATAAAAAAAGATTGCATATATATGCATATATATTTATTGTATTCTTTTTTTGTCCTTTTTTTATATTTACATTATGGCCACATAGGTATATGCATTATATAGACATAAATGAAATCTGAATATATATATCATTTCAGATTTCTATAATAAACGTATTATTATTAAGTTAAATATATATTTTTTCACAATATATACTATATAATGATTTATGTGCAAAACATATATATATATATAATATAATATATCATATATATAATATATATATATATATATATATATATATATATTCATTGTTACAATAATATATAAGCATATTCTTTTGTAATATTACATATATATATAGGATAAATCATATAAATTGAAAAATACGAAATTTCTTTAAACAAATGAATTTTTTTTTAAATGTTCTCATTTATATGATTTACTCAATATATATATATTGTATATACTCAATATATATACGTACGTTTATATGTATATATATTTAGTATTACTTAATTGGTTCTTATACAAAATTTTATTAGATAAATAGATTGTAGGATAATGTTACAACGGACTGATTCTTTTTACACAATAGTTTTAATGTATAAGAAAACTCTTTTAATGTATAGGAAAAAGATCCCACCGTAAATAATCGCAATCCTTATTAGCATTTTATTTCTTTTTTTTTTTTTCTTTCTTTTCTTTTTTACCTTTTATTTTATGATGAGATTTAAGAAAAATAAAAACTTGAGAGTTTCAAATGAGATATAAGGATATTTGTTAGTATTACTAATAATGGCTCTGGGATGCGAATGCAATAAATATTCAAAATAATGTAACAACGTTATAATTATAAAGCTAACTATATATTTACATCGAATATTGAAGTCATTGTCAAATATGCCATGTTGATTATCTATCATCGTCTCGAACAGTTTTATTTGTAAAATTATTTCAATTCATATGAATTTGTATATAAATGTATGTTAATCATTTTACGTTTATCATTGAAAGATGTCGAAATTATGAAATTATTTATTTGTAATTGTATCCAATAACATAACAAGAGAAACTTGAGTAGAAATTATGAAATATGAAAGGAGAATTGTCATCAGGATTTGCACTACGTACAAGACTGTAACATAACTCAGCTATGAATATAATTTTAAGGATGATTTTCATTTATCATCTGACACCCTAAATGATTCAGAAATATACTCTTTAGAGTTAGGAGAAAAAAAAGTGCAAACAGGACAATGACTGAAAGATAAATGACTCAGATAAATCAAGATTTGATTATTAGACATATCAGTGATACAAAGATTACAGATTTTTATAATTTCGACATCTTCTGTTATTTAAGAATCACAATTTTTTACATTAAAACATATATTATTCCATTTAAAAAACAGAAGTACTTTTATCAAATGGATTTATGTCAACTATACGTGACAAACGTGTTTCTTATATATATATATATATAAATCTTTAATATTCAAATTTTATATTAACCTTCATAAAAAAAAAAATATGTAATTGATTAATTGATTTATATTATAAATCTTTATCAACCAAAAAACTTGAGTACAGTTAGAAAAAAAAAACAAAAACAAAACGTAAAGAACAATTATTTGTTCTGTTTTTGTTTTTTTTTTTTCAATGTTTTTTATCATTGTATACAATAATTGAATTGTCTACTTAGAAAAAAATGTTGTTACTTGTCATTATGATGTAAAACTGTTCGAGAATAATTATTATTTAATACAATAATGACTTTAATATTCATCAAATTTAGTTAGCTATATTAAATACACAAAAATATGTAATAATTTAATAGAAATTATTACATATATAATAAAATAACAATAGGATTTTAACGGGAAAAAAAAGGAGACCTGATAATGAAAGGGTAAAAAAAACGTGGTGTAAGGGAAGAAGATGGTATTGAGATAATAAAGTGTGAAAAAAAAAATGTTTAAAATAAGATCGGTAAAGCTAGAGAATGAAAAATATTTTTATTCGTAAAAGAATATTTTTCATTGTAAATAATAGTAATAATATTACGTGGTTATGAATTACTGGGAATGGTATAAAAAGGAATAAGAGATAGGTAGGATCTCAGAAAAAAAAATATATATATATATATATATATATATATGAAATGTTAAGATTAAAAAAAAAAAAAATGGATACGTATGAGGAAAATGTGAGAATAAAGAAATCTGCGTAAATATTGGCAAAGTGTATTAAAAAGTAAGATAGAAAAGAAGGAGAAGAAAAAAAAACACTTGGAAGAGAAAAGAAGAAATATAAAAAGTTTAATAAAATGGTAGTAGTAAGAGTAAACGAATTCGACATTACTTTCAAGTAAAAAAAAAAAGGGGGGGATCTTCTTAAGGGTGTTTTTTGAAAAAGAAAAAATAAGACCCCTAAGTATCTTGAAGAAAAGGAAATAAAAGGAAGATACGAGATTGATTGTGAGATTTGAAACAAAAGAAAAGATAAGAAGAAAAAAAACTGGTTTTGATTAGATGAAGAATGAATAAGTGTTTTGAATTATGTAGTAAAGAGAGAGATGATAACAATATGATGATGGGGGTTATTTGTGGAGAAAAGAAGATTGAAATTAATGAAATAAAGTCAGGGAAAGTAGTTAGACGTGAATCAAAAAGGCAACTACGATAAACCCAAACCTATTTAATTAGGTCAAAGGTTTATAAATTAATAATAGATATCTATCTAACTGTCTTATCTATTTGTACCTATAAAATGGGACCTTGATTATTATTCAACATGATCTGAGAACAAAAGACATGAAAAAATCAAAGACCTACTGACCTATTGTACACATTGATATGATTCGTATACTTATTTCAATTATAAGATAACGAATAACCGAGATCATCCGGTAACTAGAACTTCAATTAAAATTAATTGATATACCGGATAAAAATGTTAACCGGTTAATCAAAGATCTACTGTA